GCAAAGGGCATTTATAGAGGTCTAGATAAAGACATGTACATATGCAAATATATTTATATGAGGATGAGGAAATAGATCTAGGTGCCTATATTTATAGGTTGGTATTGGGAGGTTTGATAAATTCAAGTTGTTGAATACAACAATGCTCATCTAAAACACAACTACCTAATTCACAAAAAGCTGTTTTGGCTTCTTTTTTTTTTTACGTTTATAAAAATAATAATGATGAGAAAATCAAAAGGGGAAAAAAATCTGTGGGAAAAGTTGATGCATGGTTACCAAGTGCGTGTGGGTCGTGTGGGGACTTAAAGCAGACATGGGGAGCCTCTATTCTGCGGAGGGCCATTTGAATATTCATAACATCATCTGTGGGCCATACCGGTCAGACCCTCAAGGAACTCACCTCATGAATGGCTGAGGAGCCCTGTGGGTGTAGCAATCGTGCATTGAGCTGCTCACTGCAAGGTCCACAGTTCAAAACCAGAGAGAACGTTGGGGCTTTCTACTCCCGTAGAGTTACCATCTCGGAAACTCAAAGAGGGGCAGTTCCACCCCGCCCTGCAGGGTCTCTGTACGTCTGCATCAACTCGGTGGCAGTGAGTCCGGGTGTTGTTTTCGTTTGGTTTTAATGGTGGCTGAAACAGCTTCTCTGATGAGGCACGTGCGGCTCGCTGGGGGCGGTCATTTTGCAGTCCTTCTGTGGCCCTCGGGCTGGGCATTCCCCCATCCTGCCTCTGGCTTAAATGACGCTCACTTTCTTTTGGGAGGGGGGGATGCAAAAGTTTTACGAATCAGTAGTGGTGAGGTCTGCACAATATGAGAATGTAGCTGATGCCAGTGAAGGGTGACCTTAAAAAGTGGTTATCAAGGCAAATTGTTCCGGAGGCTACCACAAGCAATTTTTTTTTTTTTTTTAAGATTTTGGGCAAGCGGTGGCAAGCACCTGAACCAAGGGCAAGGCCGGGTCTAGCTGGATGCCCAGGTTCCCAGCCCAGGGAGCTGAGTAGGGGTGGGGTGAGGTGAGGGGGGTGTGCCCTGTACTGGGAGGGGGCCGCACAGGGAGGGACAGGAGGGACGGTGATGTGTTGAGAGTGAGTCACGCTGAGGGCGGGGTGAAAAAGAGGAGCCGGGGAGATGTCTGGGCAGAGAAGAGGGCTGGAGACACCGGGACAGGAGAGGCATGAAAGCTGCATGTGCCACAGACCCACCAGGAGCCAGGCAGGCTCTGTGCTGACCAGTTCCCACCGCACTCTCCCGCACGTAGCGGTGCCGTGCTTACTTTCTGTCTGGCTCGGGAGGTAGGGATCCCTACTGTCACTTGACAAAAAAAGGAAGCTGAGGTTCAGTTGGGTCGCGTGCGAGTCTGGAGCAGGGCCAACAAGCAGACCCAGGTCTGTGTGACTCCTGATACTGTGCAGAGTGGTGGGGGAGACATTGGGGGCCGGGGGTCCTCCAGGCGCAGAGAGGAGAAAGTGGAGGAGCTGGCCTGCAGGGGGCACCCCAATGGGATGTGGCCAGAGCAAGAGCGCCAGACAGGGGGCACGAACCAGGTGCTCTGCAGCCTGCAGAATTTCCCTGGTCAGAAGGGAAACCACATTCACTCCCCCAGACTGGGATGGCCAAAGGACTTCAACATGCCAGTGGGTAACCGGCTGCTGCGGAGCCCATTCCAGCTGCGGTAAACAAAGTAGAACCGTGCTAAACAGGGTGTCCCCGTGCCTGGCTTTTCAGAAGGCATCGGGTCCTTATTCTGGGAATTTCTGGATGGGCTTGACCCTCTAACCCTGACCACATGAACTATGTGCACCGCCCAGGGACCGCCAGCCCTGACCTTACACGCACCGAATCAGGACGGCAGCCTAGACCCATGCCACTCCTCAGGGTCTCCAGGAGCCAGGAAAGACAAGGGCCCCACAGGGTACAACCAGGGAGAAGACAGGCTTCCCACCACATCACCTATCCTGTGGGGAGAGGGCTCAGCTTTGGGGGCTTCCCTCTGGAGCCAGGGGAGGGGAGGAGCAGAGGTGGAGAGGAACTGGGCAGTTGATGTCACAATCTAGCCTTTCCTTTTTAGCCACAGACACTAAAGTAATGGTTTGGTTTGGGTTTTTCCGACACCTCGCATGTAAGCCTGATTGATTTGACCCACCTATGCTGTAGAGTTACAGCCTCGGAAACCCACAGGGGCAGTTCTATCCGGTCCCACATGGGGTCACTAGGCATCGCATCGACTCGGTGGAGTAGAGTTGTAAATGCGGCAGCGAGACTTGGGAGACCAGGTGGTGTATATACTGGCGACTGAGTCATTAGGGGGGGACTCAGAAAACAGGCCTGATGATCTAGTTCTAAAAAAAATCAAAGAAAACTGTAGCGTGGGGTTACGATGAGTCAGAGTGAACTCAACGGCATTAGAGAGTTCTGACTCAGGTGCAGGAGTGGAAACCCTTCCACAACATAAGACACTGGAGGCAAGGAATGGGTGGCTACAAGGAGAGTCGACTCCCTTCTCTGAGAACATTCGAGAGGAGTCTGGGTGACTGCTCTCTGGGTTGTGGTCAGGGAGAGTCCTGCATTGGGGCTAAGTCTACTCAATTCTCACCTCTCCTAGCAGAGAGCTAGTGGATAGTATCTCCAGGTGTTGTTCATTCGAAAAAGAACCCGTGTCAGCATTTCCTTGGAGTGAAAAAGGTTGACAACATAACAACCAGAAACAGGGTTAAACAGCTTCCTCTAGAACAGCAGTTCTCAACCTGTGGGTTGTGACGCCTTTGGGGGTCGAACGGCCCTTTCACAGGGGTCGCCCGATTCATCACAGTAGCAAAATGACAGTCATGAAGTAGCAACGAAACAATTTTGTGGTTGGGGGTCACCACCACATGAGGAACTGTCTGAAAGGGTCACGGCGTGAGGAAGGTTGAGAACCACTGCTCTCGAAC